CTATCGTGTAACTATGCAGGTAGAGACATATGTGTTGCAGAATGGGATCGAGAGCGGAGATAAGCTCCGAGTAATGATATGTGTAACACAGGGGCGATTGAAGAATTTGACTGGTTGGTACGAGACTATTAAGAAACACGTCCTATACACATATTTGAGTGATATGTCCCATTTGAAGACAGAAGTTCCACCGAAGATAGCAGACAAGAGACTATTTATCGAGATAACAGTCATCAGATAATTATTATGGAATGAAGACGGAATGCATACAGCAGTATCATCTCCAGAAGGAGGAGATTGGATTCGCTGGATTGTAATTGTTATAATGGTTGCGGACTGTTTTACGAAGCTAATGAAGGCGGACTTCATGTGGAAGGTGATCAACACTAGAGTTTATGTGGTTGAAACAGATTCGAATGAGAAAATATGAGAACAATGTGACAGAGTGTCGCATCCTTTTTGCTGTAAAGCGGTTTAATACCTGCAGGTTGAATATGAATTCTCTCTGTAATTTGTATAGATTGAAGCTAGGATGTTAAATATGTTGTGTATAATTGGGTTATTCTAATACGAGGGCCCTTGAGTTATAGCGCTTGAAGCGAAAAGTGAGAGCCTGATTTGCTTGTTACATTCACAAGTATATTTATTTATGTTAATAATAATAGTATTATATTTGTATTTGTAGTAATTGTAATTTCGATTTTAATATGGAATAGAATTAAATTTGATATGTTGTTTGTGTTATAGTTGTTTTAACATATTATTGTAGTTATTATTCATAGATGCTAATGGGAATATAATATAGATTTTTGGAGAGGTTTATTATTTTGTTTGTTTATATAGGATTGAATATATATATTCGATTAATTATATTACATAATTAATATTATATTTTGAGGAAAGGAAGAAATTGCAAAGGCAAAGGCAAAAGCCATTAGAAAGGAAATAAAGGCAAAGACAAATATAGAAATAAAGAATATTATAAAGGATTCGATTAAGGTAATAAAGGAAATTATAGTAAAGGAGGATATAATAAGAGTAGAGGAAAAGGCTATTCAGGATTTAAAGGATGTTATCGATGTAGCAAAATTCGTCATGGGACCTGGGATTACGAAGTTGGAATATATAATGTAATATATAATATTATTCTTAATTTGTTTATTTCTTTAATATTATATTATTATTATTATGTTAAAATAAAATTATATTATATTGGTTTAAAGGAATTATTACATATTTTTATTATAATTATTATATAATATTATATATATTATATTTTTTTCTAATTAAGAATTTGGATTTGTTTTTATATAAATATAATTTTATTTATATATATTTAATAATAAGGTCTAATTCGATAATGTCTTTAATATAATCTATTTATATTTTTTATTATTTAAATTTTAATTATTATTATAATTATAATTATGGTATTTCTCCTTTATATAATTTACCTCGTGTAATCTTTCTTTTCTTTTATATTGCCCAAATATCACTTATATCCTAAAATATTTCTTTGTTATTATCTTAGTGAATTTAATATTTCTTTGTTTTATATATTATATAGATATTCTAAATTATACTATTATTTACTAATCGATTCAAAAATATTTATTATATCTACTCGAAAGATTTCATCTTAATATTACCATTACGATTTTATGAGGAATTTCAATAATTCTATTTATTTTTTCCTAAAAATATTTTTATTTGTAACAATAAATATGTTTTAGTAATTTCAACATTATAATATCCTATTATAATTATAATATTTTTTATATATTATTTTAAAATCATATAAACCTCATTTTTATTCTATAATATTATAATATTAAATATAAATCATAATAAATATATTTTATAAAATAATTTAATATTATATTCCTTATAAATAAATAAAATATAATATTAATATACAATTCAATATCTATTTAAATAATTGCAAATAATAAATATTCATTATTATAATTTACTTTACAAAAAACAATATAATAATAAAAACAAATTACACCAAAAACTACAATAAATCTTTAATAGAAATACAAAAATAACAATCCAAATTTTCTAAATTAAATAATTAACAACAAAATAATTATGCATAAATAAAAATAAACATAAAAATAAAACAATTACAAAAAACCCAATACATAATTTCAAACAAAAACTATAATAAAAATTAGAATAAAATATTTAAACAAAAATAAAAAAATAAATATCTATATATAAAATAATATCAAATCCCATCCCAACAAAATAAAATTCAAAACCATAATAATCAATAAATACACTATTAAAAAATTAAAAATCTAATTATAAATTCCATGAAAAAAAAAATATAAACCTAAAATAACATTCTTTTTAATAAACCTTCATAAAATATAACCAAAAACAATAATACACAAACCACTTATAACACAAACGAATAAAACACCATATAACACTTAGAATTACACTATTCTATCCAGGGTAATAAACAATGCTTTTTAATATACTATATTTATTTTCAATTATCCGAGCAGTATTCGATATAATCGCTCAATGTTTTTGTTATTATTATTATTATTGTTGTAGGAGGGTATGTCGAATAGTCATTAAGCCAATTTTGGTTGTTGTAGTTTTTAGAAATGCATTAAATGTGTTTTCGTTATTATTCTGTAATATATTTTCAGCAATCTCTTTGCACCTTTTACGGCCTTCCACACCGATGGTCAACTCAGTCCAGCCGGTGGGAACAACGTGAGGCTAGATCTGTGTCAACAACTCTCACTGATGTGCCTTGGAAAGATGCAATCTCACCAATATCGGATCCTTTACAGCAGACTCCAGTCACTGGGACTTCCGTCTGGCTTGCACAAGCCAAGCTTGCGGCAAAAATGCACTGAACAGTGCTCAAAACTACTCAAAAGAAGCAGAACTTTGATACCACGAGCCGGTACCACGAGCCGGTACCTCAAGCCTGTACCACGAGCCTACCAAGCCACACAATATCGAGAACCGCTGCAACGGATGTTGCCGAAGAAGCCATCCTTGCAGCTCACCCACTTCTTGCAGGTTGCGCCATGTGGCACTGGTGCGGGACCCCAAACTTCACAGTAGCGAGAACCACTGCAACGGATGTTGCCGAAGAAACCATCCTTGCAGGTCACCCACTTCTCGCAAGTGGCGCCTGCAGCGCCAACACTCTCCAAGTCAACCGCGGAAGGCTCTTCCACAGCGTGGTCATCAGGCTTCTCGGATTGCTCCTGGAACTGCACTGCTGGAGGACCCCAAACTTCACAGTAGCGAGAACCGCTGCAACGGATGTTGCCGAAGAAGCCATCCTTGCAGCTCACCCACTTCTTGCAGGTTGCGCCATGTGGCACTGGTGCGGGACCCCAAACTTCACAGTAGCGAGAACCACTGCAACGGATGTTGCCGAAGAAACCATCCTTGCAGGTCACCCACTTCTCGCAAGTGGCGCCTGCAACGCCGACGCTCTCCAAGTCAACCGCGGAAGGCTCTTCCACAGCGTGGTCATCAGGCTTCTCGGATTGCTCCTGGAACTGCACTGCTGGCGGACCCCAAACTTCACAGTAGCGAGAACCGCTGCAACGGATGTTGCCGAAGAAGCCATCCTTGCAGCTCACCCACTTCTTGCAGGTTGCGCCATGTGGCACTGGTGCGGGACCCCAAACTTCACAGTAGCGAGAACCACTGCAACGGATGTTGCCGAAGAAACCGTCCTTGCAGGTCACCCACTTCTCGCAAGTGGCGCCTGCAACGCCGACGCTCTCCAAGTCAACCGCGGAAGGCTCTTCCACAGCGTGGTCATCAGGCTTCTCGGATTGCTCCTGGAACTGCACTGCTGGAGGACCCCAAACTTCACAGTAGCGAGAACCGCTGCAACGGATGTTGCCGAAGAAGCCATCCTTGCAGCTCACCCACTTCTTGCAGGTTGCGCCATGTGGCACTGGTGCGGGACCCCAAACTTCACAGTAGCGAGAACCGCTGCAACGGATGTTGCCGAAGAAACCATCCTTGCAGGTCACCCACTTCTCGCAAGTGGCGCCTGCAACACCCACACTCTCCAAGGCAACCATGGAAGGCTCTTCCACAGCATGGTCATCAGGCTTCTCAGATGCCTCAGAGGGGGTTCCTCGAAGGTTGGGTACTTCGCCAGCAGCCAGGGCTAGCACTGTGATAGCCAAGACCTTCATGACTTGATTCTGCGCTAAGCGGCCCAAATTGTGCAGCTCGACCCAAACTCTGCCCACGTTGGGCCCAGTGCGCCTTCATGCAACTTCGCAAAGGTGTGCCTCCATATCTTTGGATGCCATGTGCACATATCTACGAACACATCCACAACTGGTTTCCTGCGAACAAATCCCACCTTGGACTCTCACTCCAAGCAGCCCTTGCATCTCTCGCGTCCTGCGACCAAGGCTTCAGTTGAGGGCCTGAAGCCCACCAGTAACACTAAAAGATTGAAGAGCAATTCCAACATGCAGTGGTATCGCGCTAATGCTATGTACTTAGGGGCTTGACAGTGTTGGCTCACGAGACAAGTAGATCAGCAAAGAAACTGTGACGAGTGCCATAGCGTACTGGATACCTTTTTACGGGCATGGAAAGCTCATGCATGCTACAAGCACGCAGCAATCTCAGTGCACCTTTTACGGCCTTCCACACCGATGGTCAACTCAGTCCAGCCGGTGGGAACAACGTGAGGCTAGATCTGTGTCAACAACTCTCACTGATGTGTCTTGGAAAGATGCAATCTCACCAATATCGGATCCTTTACAGCAGACTCCAGTCACTGGGACTTCCGTCTGGCTTGCACAAGCCAAGCTTGCGGCAAAAATGCACTGAACAGTGCTCAAAACTACTCAAAAGAAGCAGAACTTTGATACCACGAGCCGGTACCACGAGCCGGTACCTCAAGCCTGTACCACGAGCCTACCAAGCCACACAATATCGAGAACCGCTGCAACGGATGTTGCCGAAGAAGCCATCCTTGCAGCTCACCCACTTCTTGCAGGTTGCGCCATGTGGCACTGGTGCGGGACCCCAAACTTCACAGTAGCGAGAACCGCTGCAACGGATGTTGCCGAAGAAACCATCCTTGCAGGTCACCCACTTCTTGCAGGTTGCGCCATGTGGCACTGGTGCGGGACCCCAAACTTCACAGTAGCGAGAACCGCTGCAACGGATGTTGCCGAAGAAACCATCCTTGCAGGTCACCCACTTCTTGCAGGTTGCGCCTGCCGCGCCAACACTCTCCAAGTCAACCGCGGAAGGCTCTTCCACAGCGTGGTCATCAGGCTTCTCGGATTGCTCCTGGAACTGCACTGCTGGAGGACCCCAAACTTCACAGTAGCGAGAACCGCTGCAACGGATGTTGCCGAAGAAGCCATCCTTGCAGCTCACCCACTTCTTGCAGGTTGCGCCATGTGGCACTGGTGCGGGACCCCAAACTTCACAGTAGCGAGAACCACTGCAACGGATGTTGCCGAAGAAACCATCCTTGCAGGTCACCCACTTCTCGCAAGTGGCGCCTGCAACGCCGACGCTCTCCAAGTCAACCGCGGAAGGCTCTTCCACAGCGTGGTCATCAGGCTTCTCGGATTGCTCCTGGAACTGCACTGCTGGCGGACCCCAAACTTCACAGTAGCGAGAACCGCTGCAACGGATGTTGCCGAAGAAGCCATCCTTGCAGCTCACCCACTTCTTGCAGGTTGCGCCATGTGGCACTGGTGCGGGACCCCAAACTTCACAGTAGCGAGAACCACTGCAACGGATGTTGCCGAAGAAACCGTCCTTGCAGGTCACCCACTTCTCGCAAGTGGCGCCTGCAACGCCGACGCTCTCCAAGTCAACCGCGGAAGGCTCTTCCACAGCGTGGTCATCAGGCTTCTCGGATTGCTCCTGGAACTGCACTGCTGGAGGACCCCAAACTTCACAGTAGCGAGAACCGCTGCAACGGATGTTGCCGAAGAAGCCATCCTTGCAGCTCACCCACTTCTTGCAGGTTGCGCCATGTGGCACTGGTGCGGGACCCCAAACTTCACAGTAGCGAGAACCACTGCAACGGATGTTGCCGAAGAAACCGTCCTTGCAGGTCACCCACTTCTCGCAAGTGGCGCCTGCAACGCCGACGCTCTCCAAGTCAACCGCGGAAGGCTCTTCCACAGCGTGGTCGTCAGGCTTTTCGGATTGCTCCTGGAACTGCACTGCTGGAGGACCCCAAACTTCACAGAAGCGAGAACCGCTGCAACGGATGTTGCCGAAGAAGCCATCCTTGCAGCTCACCCACTTCTTGCAGGTTGCGCCATGTGGCACTGGTGCGGGACCCCAAACTTCACAGTAGCGAGAACCACTGCAACGGATGTTGCCGAAGAAACCATCCTTGCAGGTCACCCACTTCTCACAAGTGGCGCCTGCAACACCCACACTCTCCAAGGCAACCATGGAAGGCTCTTCCACAGCATGGTCATCAGGCTTCTCAGATGCCTCAGAGGGGGTTCCTCGAAGGTTGGGTACTTCGCCAGCAGCCAGGGCTAGCACTGTGATAGCCAAGACCTTCATGACTTGATTCTGCGCTAAGCGGCCCAAATTGTGCAGCTCGACCCAAACTCTGCGCACGTTGGGCCCAGTGCGCCTTCATGCAACTTCGCAAAGGTGTGCCTCCATATCTTTGGATGCCATGTGCACATATCTCCGAACACATCCACAACTGGTTTCCTGCGAACAAATCCCACCTTGGACTCTCACTCCAAGCAGCCCTTGCATCTCTGGCGTCCTGCGACCAAGGCTTCAGTTGAGGGCCTGAAGCCCACCAGTAACACTAAAAGATTGAAGAGCAATTCCAACATGCAGTGGTATCGCGCTAATGCTATGTACTTAGGGGCTTGACAGTGTTGGCTCACGAGACAAGTAGATCAGCAAAGAAACTGTGACGAGTGCCATAGCGTACTGGACACCTTTTTACAGGCATGGAAAGCTCACGCATGCTACAAGCACGCGGCAATCTCAGTGCACCTTTTACGGCCTTCCACACCGGTGGTCAACTCAGTCCGGCCGTTGGGCCATCAATCCAACTCCACTTCAAAAATCCCTGGCGACCCGATGTGGGGGCATCCCTGTGGTCTCCATGGCGCATTCAGGTCAGGCTGAAGGGCTGCGACGCGCAGGTCAGCGGATCTTTCAGTTGCGAGCATGGCGACTGGCTCCAGCAAGGCCAGAAAGCATAAGGTGTGGGAATCTGCAGGACATATCTTTGATGTGCACTTCCAGGTCGCGAGGAACAACAAAAGCACAGTTCATGGCAACTCACAATGCATCGACATCTAGCATCCAAGTCTCCAACCCCCAAAAGCCAAAGGGGTAGTGTTTCGTGGGCATCGAGCTTCTTAGAGTCATGAACCGTCCGAATTCGTTGGATGTGCCCAAAGACAAAGCCGCAAGCCTGGAGATGGGCAGCATCTGGCTCTGCCGGACATTACTGGCATATATCTAGTCAAGAGGAATCATATGACTACCGCAATGAAAATAGTCGATGTCTATACTGTTTTAATCAAAACCAATACCTGTCGCTCCGACTCTCTCCCAGCGCATTGCTTTTTGGGAGCGCAAGCCCTCGACTTCCTGCCGCTTTGGCGGGTCAAAAGCGAACAAAATTTGGACACCTAAACTGAGCTGGCAGAGGTCGCGCAATCCCGCTTTGGCCAAAATGCCAGAAATGCCTGATGTGTCCAGTTGATACTTGTTCGATTGCGAGACCCTGAGCCATCTGCAAAAATCATGGATGGAATGGATCGCCGAGAGCTCCACTGTCGACTCTTTCCAAAAGCTTCAAACGTCAGGCCAAGGCTGACCTGCTGGCCCGCGTGCACGAGATCAGTGGTGGAACAACCTCAACTTGGTGAAGGCCATAGCCTCAGCGCACAGAAAAGGCATCAAGCTGGCCTCTCGCGTCTTAGCATCCAAAGACCAATGAAAATGTGAAAGTCCCAGAAACTCACCATCACCGGATGTACCTCGCTTTACACTTGCCTGTGAGCCCTCTCTCTCCCTGTCTCTCCCTCCAAGACAGCGACACATGGCCATGGGTCAAAACCCCGTACCCCCAGTGAACATCCCAATCCAACCCCTAAAATAGGTTCTAAATTGGGTGGTGAATTCACCTACCAACCAAAATGGGATCCAAAACGGATTTGAACCATGGCCACATTGACATACCAACGGATTCAAATTCAGGGCGCGAGGGCTGAGAGCCCCGCCATGCCATACGTGTTGCAGGCATCGATGACTTCGGCGTCCGCCACCGAGCCGCCGGGCTGCGCCACGTACTTCACGCCCAGCCTGGCGACGAAACGAAAAAAATCGCCCCCTGGCGCTTGGCTGTGGGAGCAAGCATTCAAACTTTAGCAGTTAAGTGGTTGGATTGCATCCACTGAACCACAATATGCAAAAATATAACATGTTTCCCAACAACAACCATGTTGTGGAGCATGTGTATATGGCTGTGGGTCAAAAATACGGTAACCCCAAAATGGAGCCGTAGTAAATGGAAACAAGGACTAAAACCTGCGGTCCGATTCCTGGTGGATTCATTTTGACCCATACCCCGATTCTCTGCCTCCATTTCTGAAAAAGCGGGATCTCAGTATACAGTGAGGTCAAAAGTAGCAAGCCAAGGCTTGTTGGGTATGCAGGGAGGAGGATACCTCAGAAACAACGTGCTAGGATGTTATCCAAGCAGTACCGAGATGCCATGCTTGAGCATCTTGGTGCAAGGTGTTGACAAATGTGATACAAGGGCTTCCTCCAACGTCATGCTCAATACCATCTTTCCACGCCTTTCAGGTTGGAAGGGGTGCTTCCAACCCATACCTTCACCACATGGCCATGGATCAAAATCCCGTAACCCCAGCCAATCCCCACTAAAATAGACTACCCCAAAATGGGATCCCACCACCACAGCAACATCCCAAAAGCAGCGTGACTGAGGGAAGTGGAAGCACGGCTTCCAGGCCCGTCCTGGTGGCATGATCGATCGAGTCCCGGAAGGGGAAGAAGGCGTCGGACGAGATCGACACGCCATCAAGGCCTCGGAAACGCCCAAGGCGTTTGGTTGACGTTGGAAGGGGAGCAAAAATTATCAAAAAAAAATAGCAGTTAAGTGGATTTGGATTTCTTAGTCACTAAACCACAAGAAGCAAAAATGTAAGCTGTTTCCCAAGAACAACCACATCCATGCCAGTTTTCCGTGGAACCTGACCTCAACCCACCCTTGCTTTTAGCTGGTGTGTGTGTGTGCATGTGGCTGGGCTCAAAAATATGTTGCCAAAATGGCACCCTTGGCAAACGGAACCGAAGACTAACACCTGCGGCAACCCCAGCTCCATCTTGAGCCACAACCCATGTCATTCTTTCCTGGAACCTGAGACCTGCCCGCCACACGCCCGCGAGAGCGGATCCAGGGACCCGGCCCTTCAGGAAGGTGGCCTTGTCCTCCGCTGTCAAGGGCTCCGGCCTTGAGCGCTTTCCAAAACCGGCGAAACACGAGAAACGGCTGAAAGAACCTTGCTGCTGCCTGAGGTGCTTTTGTTTTTGCTTCTTTGCTTCTTCTGCGCTTTTTTTGGCTGTTTTCTTTGCTTTTGTTTTGTTTAAGAACAAAAGCAAAAGAAAAACTTTGTGAACACAAAGAAAGAACCGAAGTGGGGCATTTCAGCTCGCCGCGGGGAGTCAAAGTTCTTCAGCCACTCGGTCTTCTCTGCTTCCTCCATGTCTCCCTCGATATATCCTTATTGTCTGAGCTGGCGAGGCTCTGATGCTGAGAACTGAGGCGTCCACGGACACGCGCATTGACTCGGTCTTGCCGCTTGACCTGACTGCGAAAGAAACATCTCATTTGAAGGGCAGGCGAACATACATATCCCAATCTGGGGGGTGTCCAGCATATTAAACTAGATTTTGACCTCGAACCTGAGGCGCGAGCACCTTCTCTGAAGGGCAAGCCCTTGACCTCCGAAGCAAAACAAAATGGAAAAAACACTCACGGTGAGCGACCAGTCAGCGCAGTTCAGGCCTTTGGATGGAACCTGAGACGCCAGCGACCCAAAAAACCCTGCAGCACGTGATGGCTGCTTGCAGAAGCACATGAGAGAACAGTTATTTGTGTGCGGGTGGCAGGTGAGTTTGCTGATGTAAATAGGCTGCGAAAGAATTGAATTGCAAGGGGGCATTGATTTGCTATGACATTGCTTCCGGCTAAAGCATCAAAAAGGACCATCTGGTTATCGGCCAACAAAAATGGCCATGGGTCAAAAACCCATACCCCCAGTGAACATTGCAATCCAACCACTAAAATACGTTCTAAAATGGGTGGTGAATGCACCTACCCACCAACATGGGATCCAAAACGGTCTTCATCCCAATCTAACCACCAAAATACGTTCTGAAAAGGGTGGTGCACCTACCCCAAAATGGGATCCCAAACGGCTTTGACCACCGCAGCCAAATCGGCAAAACGTAGGCCGCCGGCCGCAGCCACCACGTGGCGACTTTCCGCCCCGCGAGCTTCACGCAGTCCACGCCTTCAGCCGAACCCGAGGCGGTCAGACCCTTCGAGTGTTCCGAACGAAAAGGCACGGAGCGTCTTGAAATGGGTGTCCCCAAAAATTCACAAGCTAGGGTTACGCAGGTTTTAGTCTTTGCTTCCATGTACTAAGGGGTTTTACTAAAGATTTAGTCCTTGGTTCTATTTTGGTACGTTTATTTGAGCCATAGCCCAATGGGGAACAACTGAACAAATGGTGAGTGTCCTTTTGGTTTTCCTTTGAAGCCATGCAACCCACACGGGTGCCCCTCAAAAGAAAGATAGAAAAAGGACACGCCCGCGCATGAAAAACGCTGCCGGCGGCTGTCTGAGATCAGCCACGGCTTTGCTGGCCAGCACCGACGCCCACCATCATGCCATCCTTCGACGTGAGTTCGACGCGAAGGAATGGGTCGTGCGCCTTTTTTATTGTCATGAGCGCTTGAATCGAGGGCCCTGAGCTGGCGGACATCTCGAAAAACTCCCAGAGATGGCACGCGGGAAATCACCTATATATTTTGTGGTCCAAGCCAGAGATGCAGGAAAAACAGCTGAGAAGCGACTTGTCGCCTCATTTGCACAACCCATTCAAGAAGATGTGCAAGTTGGGGAGGGCCTTGGCCCTCATTTCGACGAGCAACACCCCGTGAGTTCCCAAGTCAGCGAGTCCCCCGGCAGGAACTCCTGAGTCCCAACAAAAACATCAGACCCGGCCAGCCGACAGGGAAGGAACTGCGGCTCGTTCAATTTGGTCATCTAAACGCGGTCCTTGCTGTATCCCACTGAGTTGGACTGCCTGGCTCCCGAAGCGAAAGAAAGGGCTCCAAGGAACGCGGTTGCAACCTCAAAGAAGCTGCCCAGAACAGAAGTCTTTGGTGCCATCCGCAAGCACGAATGCCTATGACTCATTCTGCACAGTCACCTTCACAGTGTTAGGTGGGTTGGGCAAACACGATGCAGATGAACTCTGTAAGACAGGCCGGTCGGTCGTGTACTTGATCGCAATGGACGCCAGAATCAGATCCTTCCTCACCAATTCGCGGCAGGTCAACATTTAGCCGGACGCAGCAGGTAGCTTCAAGCGCCAAGACAAATCTGCAGCCCTGCTAGATGCTGAGGAAAACTCAAGCGCAATGTTAGATCCCATGCCCATACCCAGCTCAATGCGAACTCTTTCAGGACTACACCATAAACTAGGGGTTACCTGATTTTAGACTGTGCAGCTTGCCACGTGCCACTGTCAATTTTGACTCGAAGCAGGCGACCATGGCCCTGTTGCGTGGAAAGCTAATTAGGTGTACACGCGTGTGCCGTACATTAGTGTGCGCGTGAGTCCGTGTGCACGTGTCAGCGCGTGCAGGTGCTGCGTGCACACGTGCGCGCGTGTGCGCGTGTCGCGAGTGATTGTGCGTGCGCGTACGCACGCTGGGCGTGAGCGTGCGCGAGTGCTTGTGGCATTTGTGCGGGCATGGGTCCATGCATGCGTGCGTGCGTAGGGTGGGTACGTGCGTGGGTGGGTGGGTGGGTTTGTGTGTGTGTGTGTGTGCGTGGTGTGTGTGTCTGTGTGTGCATGCGTGTACGTGCGCATGCGTGTTTGTGTACGTGAAATTGTGTGTCTGTGTGTCTGTGTGAAAGCGCGCGTGCCCGCGCGCGCGAGTGCCCGCGCGTGCGGGTGCGAGTGCGGGCGCGGGCGCGCACGTGCGCGCGAATGCAAGTGCAGCTGCGGGCACGGGCAGTGTGCGCGAGTGTTTGTGTGGGTGTGGGCGTGCCTTTGTGTTTGTGTGTCTCTGCGTGTCTGCATGTCTGCGCGTCTGCTTGTCTGTGTGTCTGCGTCTCTGCGTCTCTCTGTGTGTCTTTGTGTCTCTGTGTGTCTCGGTGTGTCTCTGTGTCTCTGTGTGTCTCTGTGTGTCTCTGTGTGTCTCGGTGTGTCTCTGTGTGTCTCGGTGTGTCTCGGTGTGTCTCGGTGTGTGTCACTGTGTGTGTGTCGTCACTGTATTTGTGTGTATTTGTGTGTATTTGTGTGTATTTGTGTGTATTTGTGTGTATTTGTGTGTATTTGTGTGTATTTGTGTGCATTTGTGTGTATTTGTGTGTATTTGTGTGTATTTGTGTGTAGTTGTGTGTAGTTGTGTGTAGTTGTGTGTAGTTGTGTGTAGTTGTGTGTAGTTGTGTGCAGTTGTGTGTAGTTGTGTGTATTTGTGTATTTGTGTGTATTTGTGCGTATTTGTGTGTATTTGTGTGTATTTTTTGTGTATGTGTGTACATTTTGTGTTGTTTTGTGTATTTTTGTGTGTATTGTTGTGTATTGTTGTGTATGTTTGTGTATTTTTTGTGTTGTTTTGTGTAGTTTTGTGTAGTTTTGTGTATTTTTGTTTCTGTTTTGTGTGTATTTGTGTGTATTTGTGTGTGTGTGTGTGTGTGTGTGTGTGTATTTGTGTGTATTTGTGTGTGTGTATTTGTGTGTATTTGTGTATTTGTGTGTGTATTTGTGTGTGTGTGTGTGTATGTGTGTGTGTATTGTGTGTGTGTATGTGTGTGTATTTGTGTGTATTGTGTGTATTGTGTGTGTGTGTATTTGTGTGTGTTTTGTGTGTATTTGTGTGTTTGTGTGTATGTGTGTGTGTGTGTGTATTGTGTGTATTGTGTGTGTGTGTATTTGTGTGTATTGTGTGTGTATTGTGTGTGTGTATGTGTGTGTGTATTTGTGTGTGTATTTGTGTGTATTTGTGTGTATTTGTGTTTGTGTATTTGTGTGTATTTGTGTGTATTTGTGTGTATTTGTGTGTATTTGTGTGTATTTGTGTGTATTTGTGTGTATGTGTGTGTATTTGTGTGTATTTGTGTGTATTTGTGTGTATTTGTGTGCGTGTGTGCGTGTGTGCGTGTGTGTGCGTCTGTGTGTGTCTGTGGGTGGGTGTCTGTGTTTGTGTGGGTGTGGGTGGGTGGGTGTTTTGGTGTCTGGGTGTCTGGGTGTGTGGGTGTGTGGGTGCGTGGGTGCGTGGGTGCGTGGGGTGTGGGGGTGGATGGAGGTGTGGAGGCGGGTGTGTGTGCGAGTGCGTGCGCGCGCATGTGCACGTGTGTGTGCGTGCGCTCGTGCACGTGCGCGCCTGCGCATGCTCTGTGCGACGCAGCGTGGTGTGTCTGTGTTTGCGTCCAATTTTTTCTCGAAAAGGGCGTCCACACAAATGGTGCTTGCCAGGCCCCGGGCTGCGCGTTGTCCGGTAGGCTTTTCTTGGCAGTGACCACCTTTAGTGCGTCAAAGCGACTAAGAGCAAGGGGTCGGTGTTCGGCTGACTTAGTAAGTTGATGGCAATCTGGGTTATAACCCACAAAACAGGTCCCCCGTTACTGAGCTGTCCTCAGATCCCCCGCTCAAAGTGACTAACATTTTTAGTGGGCTAAATGGCAAACCAACCACTACTTGGTCAACGTTGGAAGGGGAGCAAAAACTTAAATTTTAGCAGTTAAGTGGTTGGATTTCACCCACTAAACCACAAGAAGCAAACATGTGAAATGCTTCCCAACAACCATGAAGTCTAAACCACCTAAAAAGAGCTAAAAAGCTAAGGAACCGGATGGCTGGTTGAGCCACCAAGCTTAGGTGGAACTCCACCCTGTTGGCGGTTGCCACCGAGCTTCCCAACAAACATCCGGCAAGAAGCATTCCTTTTTGGACCCCTCGGGATGGGGGGGGGGGAACAGCCTGAGTCAGGTTGCATGAAGGGCACCACAAAACTGGGGCCTGACTTTTAAGCAACATGTGACGGTTCGTCTCAAGAAGGGGCGACCCGGAAAGTGGGTTTTTAACCAATTCTCTGGAAAAACCCACCCTTTGAAAAGGGTACCCAGACCCTCAAACGACCCATACAAAAAAAAGAAAACATCACCCATTCCATAAGTTTGGGTTGCTCTCTACCCCATTTTTCAGTTGGTACCCTCCAAACCCAACCATGAATTTGAGTTGATCTAGCCCATTTTTAAGTTGTAATTGTGAGGGTCCAGATGCCAAAGAAAGGGGTCGTGACCCTTGAGCCTCCCGGCCACTTATTGTTTCCCATAACAGACTTCCCATGTTTTCGACAAATCTCCAGGGGTTTCGCTGTGTGGATGGCATAACACATGGAACCCATCTTTCCCAACCAAACTCCGCTGAGAAGGCCCTTCTCTTCTAGGTCCTCCGGTAGAGAGGTTAGAATAAGGGCACCCTTTTTTCTGTAGTCCATTTTAGTAGGGGAACCCTCCTAACCAAAGAAGGGTGAGAAAGGGCACCTAGCTGGGGCACCTTGTCTTCAACCCAAAAGGATATGGGAAGTAGCGATGGGAATACTCTCAAAGAACAGGGCACGAAGACTTAGAACAACGAAAAGTTGACCATACTTAGATCTTGGACTCTTGTGCTCCTCTGGCACGGAGGCAACACAAGTCTTTTGAGAGGGCAACTGAAAAGCAAGCCTCCAACTGTTGCGGGTTGCGCAAATGAATCAGCCACATCCAAGCCCGCTAAGTCTTCGCGCGAGGTTTACCCGCTGGCTTCCCAGACTGACCAAAACTTTCCGATCAGAACCATTTGTTTACAAGGGCCTTCCAGAAAACGAGGCCGCATGGACATGGATGCCCGGTACTGTTTCTTGTCACTACCTCCCTGTGTCAGGATCTGGTAATTTTGCGCACCTGCTGCCTTCCTCACCTGTGGCCGTCGTTTCTCAGGCGCCCTCTCCGGAATCCAACCCGAAAATTCATTTATTTTTGCCCTGTGGAGTTCGAGCCATTGCCTCGGCCAGCTTGGAGGCATCAACCAGGGCGTCATTCCTCTTCTGCATAAAGCCAACCCCACCAACCTGAAGCCAAGACGATTGGCATGCGGAAACCTCCCCGCGGAGGTCAAACACTGCACTGGTCACATGGGTAGTACACAAGCACCTAGCTGCAACGAGAATTTGGTTCCGGTTCCCGCGAGTGAAACATGCTGACGCACAAATACCATGTGTTATGACGTCTGAAACATGTTGCGCATCATCTCCCAAGGGCCCAAACAAGCAGGCAGGGCTTTGTATTGTCTGGCCCAAGCTGTGCCAAATCGGTCACACGACGAGAAAACGCTCCGGTCAGGCTGTGTACTGTTGTTGGCCATTGATGTGTACATGCTTGATCATTCTAACCCCAGGTGTCCTTTGGTAAAAATAGCTTGCCCTAATAAATGAAATACAACCAATCTAAACCAGTGCCGTTTATGTCGAATCAAACTAACATAAAAAGGACACCTATGATTCTATTGCTGCGCACTGACCTCCCCTGGCAAGACGACAGCTGTAAGCAGCTCATGCCGAACATCCTGCCACCTGCTTGCAGAACCCTCAGGCTCATTCACATGCAAATGTATGTTGTAAAGTCGTCATGCCTTCAGTTTCAACTACATAAACTTCAAATGTCATTCGTTAACGTTTGCACACCCCTCAAATGCAAAAGCAAACAACGAACAATGTCAACCCTCAAGAACACACCCAATGAATGTGTTGACTCCATCTCTTCATGTATCCCCAGCAGGCTCTCGCACTCTCGCTCAATGCGCATCCATCCGAATCCTGGGGAGCAGACCATGCGGTACTCGAGGTCGTCATACTTGAAAGCGGGGTCGGCCTGAAGCAGCCAGGTCAGCCCCTAAGGACCCTCGAAGGACCTGGACCCCTTAAGCACCGTCCATCTTGGCTTTTTGGAACTCCCAAGGAACAGGGAGGCACGCGCTTGAATCCGTAGGTGCCTTGTTGGAGAAAAAATAGATGGGTTTCCCTGGTAAATGGAATAAAACCCGTCTAAACTGGTGCCTTTTACTTTTAACCAAACTAACCTAAAAAGGACACCTATGCTTGAATCACTTTGACTACCAAAAAAAAACGAGGTGTTGGCCCCCCCCAGGTCCAAAGGAAATCCGCCTTCAGCACGATGAACTTGCCGCCTTTCTTCGCCTCGCGCATCAAAGACACATACCCCAAAAATGAAGCCTGGCATGGTTGGTCTCCGGCTATGCATCCCCTGAAAAAATGTACAGGAACAAGAACAAAACAAGGGCGAGTCAACCAAGGGACAAGCTGCAAGCGAATTCTCCCCTGTCAGCCACCTCCCTCACACGTCACTTCCCGCCTTGAGCACTTCCAAGGCTTCCGGCACGAAGGAGGGGGCCTCTTTCTTTCTGTCTCTCCTTCCTTCCTTCCTTTCTTTCTGTCTTTCTTGCTTTCTTTCTTTCTTTCTTTCTTTATTTCTTTCTTTCTTTCTTTCTGTATTTCTTTCTTTCTTTATTTCTTCCTTCCTTTCTTTCTTTCTGTCGTTCTTTCTTTCTTCCTTCCTTCCTTCCTTCCTTTCTTTCGGTCTTTCTTTCTTTCTTTCTTCCTTCCTTCCTTCCTTTCTGTCTTTCTGTCTTTCTTGCTTTCTTGCTTTCTTGCTTTCTTTCTTTCTTTCTTTCTTTCTTTCTTTCTTTCTTTCTTTCTTTCTTTCTTTCTTTCTTTCTTTCTTTCTTTCTTTCTTTCTTTCTTTATCTCTTTCATTCACTCGGCGCCTCATTTCATGGGCCAGCACCTTTGCTAACATATCCTCTCTTGCCTTTGCTCAAGGTTCTCTGACGTGTGGTATGCTTTGAATGAACAAGGACGTAATGGAAAAGTTAGAGGCAACATATTATGCCTCAACGAAGTTTGCTATCGGCTTGATAGTCACTCCAGCAGTTTAGGAATCTCCTCTCGAAATCAGGTCGTTTCTGCACTTACTCAATTTCATCTCCTGGTGCTTGTAGCTCGCAATCATCTCACGGCCCGCCAAGGCAGCTGCAATGATACCATCGCTCACCTCGATTTTCAGGATCATCGCAGTGGCCTCTGGCAGCGGGGAGTCACTTGGCCAGTGGTGTCAATCGCCGTGCCCCAACTGCGCCCTGTCCATCAATCGACAAGCCTTGCCTTGGAAGCTTCTTGAACGCTGAAAAAAGGATGCGGCAAGAAATGGGTGTCTCTCTCCATGAAAGGGTACCCCTCTTGGAGTTGGTCTACAGGAAGCCGCCTATTTCATGGTCTTCAAGTTGAAGACAAACCCCATTTTCCTTTTCCTAGGGTGCTTGTGCGCGAACGCTGCTTGTCGCCCATTCTCGAATGGATCCTTCTTCTTCAGGCTGTTTTTGTTTTTTTACAGAAACCAAAAAAGAAAGAGTGGGAGGGTTGTCTTTCTCGTTGTTTCCGCGGGTTCTACCTTTTTTTCCCCGCGCCCCCGCCAAGACCCGGTCGGCTCGCTCCCGAACTCCTCCGTGACTCTCCATCTCCAGGCCGCCGGGCCAGGTCCACCTCGCCGGAGATGGCCACGAAGTCCCCGAAGGAGCACATGGGGTCCGCGTTCCGCGCCCTGCACGGCGAGGCCAGCAAGCGGCGCGGTTTCGGCGAGACCACACGGCGCGCAGGCGGGAGGCGCAAAAGCCGCGCGAGGGGAGACGCGGGGAGACGGTTTGCGAATCTTCGGATGTATTGAGGGAAAAGACCTCTGCCAATTCGAAGCTGAAAGAGCCTAGAACCAAGGGCACCTGCAATCCAACTCGGATCCAATGAATATGCCCCTACCTGTTTGGAGCACAATAGTCATCACTGACCTGTTCAACTTATCCTTTGAACGGCGCTTTGTGAGGTTCGAAAACCACTCCACTCATCGTACAGTCTAAGATCTCGGCCGAACGTGATTGGGTGGAAGCATGGCCCATTGCAGTCCCTCTTGGCTTGGGCTCACTCAGGACATTGGCATCCCTGCCTCACGTAGGCGCAGGCCTGAGCGCAGTGTTGCTGGAGGAAGTACCGAACGTCAAGGCTCGGACGGTGGGAGTCAGCTCCTTGTCCTTGACCTCGTAAACGATCCTCTCCTTGCGAGCACCACATATAAGATCTTAAGCGCCTTGGGCACGGATAACAAATAAACAATCAAAGAAACACGCACGCACAACTCGAAAGTGCTGTTTGCGCATGCGGACTTTCTCATAACGCAATAAACGCGTGCACATGTTGCGCCCTTCCAAAAGATTCAGCACAAGTCACACCCCGCTGAGGATGGAACCCAAACCCTTCACTCGTAAGGTTCAAGGGAGGAGGGGGGGGTTAGGGGGTGGTTTGGGTTTGCTGGCGGGGCATCTCCGGTGACCGCCGGTGTCCTCGTCACTCAGCGGAAGCCCAATGGCTGCGCCGGCAGGACTGACGTGCTTGAAAGAGGCGGCGGCCTGAGTCGTCTCGCGTCACGAACCGAGCGTCCAGGATGGAAGCCACGGATCCACTTGGAATCGGATTGGGGGTTGATCAAAAGGTCCTTTACATGGTACGGAAACCCATTGGTTGAACCACGAAAAAGAGAAAGATGATATTTCAACCACTAAATGGGCAAAGTTACCCATGGTCATCTGGGGGCCAAGAATATTGATCAACCCCCATATTGAAACGTCACCTCCCTAGGCCCGTGCGGGCAAGCCGGTTGCTTGCCCCAACTCGTGCACCAATTGCCAGGCATTGATGGCATCCAGCAAGTTGATGTAGCCGGGCCTTGCAAAGGCAAGGCGCACGGGTGGCTTTGTGGAGCCACAACACAACTCCGTGAGGATTGAGGCACAGACGTACCGGAGATCACCTGACAACTGCCCACTGCTCAAAACCATGCAGCACAGCAGCTTAAATATGTACAAACATGTTCTATACATATATATATATATATATATACATATGATGTATACACCCATAGCCCTGTGGTCCGCGTTGCTCACCCACTTCCCCAAAGGGCATGGGTTCCTAACCCCCCACCCGCTCCGGAGCGCCCAGATCGCGCCACAAAATTGATCCATTCAGATCGAAATCGGAAGAAAATCCTGGAAATCCGTTTGAGTCCTGTTCAAATCCATGGAAATCTCGACAACTTGTTGGAGAAGCACAAACCAGGAAGTCAGGAGGAGGCAACCAAAAGAGCATGCAGCAGACTGATGAGTGGAAAGGGCATCCAAGTAGAACTGGCAGTTAGACTGTAAGACCATGTTTGATGCCACACCTTTTCTGGGCTGCCCTCTGATCCCCCGCTAAGAGTTTAACTTTTGGTTAAATGGAAACTACCAAGAAACACTAAAAGGCTAAAAAGCCAAGGGGATGGCTGGCAGCCACCAAGTGTTGGGCCGTTTTTGTTGGACTGCCAGGTCAACCTCCGTGCAAGCGAAGCAACGGCATCGGGCGAGCGAGATCGCTCCGCCTCGAAGGGCAGCTTGCGGCCGGCCACCGAGCAGAGCCCCGCCGGCAGCTGGTGCCTGGAGGCCGAGGCGAGTGACGTGAGGGGCAGCCAGGTGGGCCAAAAGCTGAGGGCCTTGGCAGAGAAACATGCGGCGCTGGGTCAAAACCCCAGGAAACCCCTGGTGAACGTCAAAATAGGTGGCAAATAAAAAGGTTCATCCACCCATCAAAATGGAGCCATAGGTTATGCCCCATGGCCATGTTTTTCGGAATGTGTATCTGTGTAGGTGTCCAGGAAAGGGGGCAACAACGACAAAGTTATGTCTGTCCATCTGGAGACTCTCTTGGGAAAATAACAACACGACAGCGTTCAGCCAGACCGCGGCTCGCATTCCTATCGCTGTGACCAAACTTGCTAAACACCCCAACTACATCCTCGCATAGGCGTGGTGTTGAATGGCCATCCTCACATTACACTGGCACGAGGAATGGCCAAGTTCCGCAGTCTCAATCACCCCAATTTCACATCAGCGATGCCCAGTGGAAAGGACCTCTCGTGGCCATGGCCATGGGGCAAAATCCAAATCGGATTTAGCCCCCAGTGAACGAGACCCAATCCAACCACTAAAATAGGAAGCCTAACATGGGTGGTGAATGCACCTACCAACCAAAATGGGATCCTATTGGTTTTGACAACCACAGCCAGGTAGGGAATGATTCCCGAATAGAAGCAATCATAGGTGGTTTTTGGTTGGTTTTGCTACCAGTCCCAAAATATCCCCACTAAAATAGGAAGCCTAACATGGGTGGTGAATTCACCTACCAACCAAAATGGGATCGTTGCAATCTACACGCGGCGACTCGCACCTTTTTTTCAGCGAGGCCCTGGCGGATTGCAGCCGTACTTCAGGGGCATCTCCATCCTGAGGCTCGTTCCCAGCTTTCCAGGTTTGCACCCTCGACTTTTTTGGGGGGGGCAGAGTCAAATATAGAAATAGGATTTAAAAAAAAATGGAGCAGCTGCCAGTTAAGAAGCATAGGTCATACTAACAAGAGCACCCCCTCTTTTGCCCTAGAGCATATGTCGAGAGACAAGGCGAAACTCAGCGCCCAGCTCAAACGCCACCGTTTTCTTCGGAGGAGGCTCGGTGACCTGCCCGAGCCACATGTCACGATTCATCTTAGGTGACTTAGACCTGTTATAACAGGTGAGACTGTTCCTACCATCCTTCGGATAGATCCTCCCCATACTCTGTGTGTGTGTGTGCCTTTTTATACAGGGACCCCCAAAACTGCGGCTTTGCTTGTGGGTTTCCTTGACAACCACAAACATGGGGCACCCTAAAAAAAGACACGCCCATATCATTGACTGCTGTGCAACCCGTCGACCATGGAACCTCCATCCCCCTCGGCCCCCTCAGACGCCTCCCCTGCCATCCAGGTGCTCACGGCCGAGTCGTAGGCCGAGGTCAACGCGTAGGCGGCGGCCTTGGTGAACAAAACGATCCGATGCCCGGTGGTTGGATCGGGTGGCGGCGCCGAAGCACCAAAACTCAGCTTCATACAACCTGAAACCTGTGAAGGGACGACAAAATCAGATAGACAGCCTGTTCGTGCCTACACCTCGACGGAAAAAACTTTGCCAGAATTTCACCACAGGCCGCAAAAGCAGCCATCTGAGCCAGCCACGGCCATGTTCTTGCGGAAGGCAAAGCTTGTGCAGCCGTCGTCGCCTCGGATGTCCGGGGAGAAATCGCTCCATCGCTCGAAACGCGATGGAGAGAAGCTAGGCACCTGGCCAAGCTCCTGCATGAACTTGGAGTACTGGCTGGGGCTCGTCAAGATCGTCCTCAGCCGATCCCGCCCCCCCCCAAACAAAAAAAAGGACGAGGCCCGTGATATCAAATTCAGGTAGTTCTCAAAAGCAGCAGTTCCAAGAAGTCGCTCAAGGAAACCCGACACGTGAATAGTCTGCAAAATGGCTCAAACAATGGAAACATAGATTTGGCCACATATGTTTGAGCCACGGTCATCCATCTTAGGCCCCAGCACAGCTGCATTGTTCTTGGCAGAAGCCCTGATCATTGCTGGTCCGCCGATGTCGATGTTCTCGATGCATGTGGCCTCAGACAGGATCCGCCTTTAAGGACTCTGGGCCACTGGGGAAGGCCGATTCATGATTGATCTGTCTTGGTCTCGCTCCGTGATTGGTGCTGATTCGGTTCCCACAAGCCTTCTGCGCGGAAAGAGCTGAGGCGCTGGCAAAGTCTCCACCCTTAGCAACCTCAGCTCGTCCGCAAATCCACCGCTCAAGAACATTGTGAAATTACATGTACCAATGGCGGCTGCGTGCTCGTCAGGTGGTTGGATGTGCTAAAAGCCTTCTGCTTCCCCCTCAATCCAATCCCTCGAGCCATCTCACACCGCAGTTCTTGGCTGAGAGAAACACTGCCTCCCTGAAGGGATAGAGGTTGACAACCTCAGTGTGGATTGCACTGCAAAATAGCCTGTGGAACCACAGAAGACAGCGGGAATTTGGCCGATGTCGGCCTCTTTTGCCGACTGCTGATTCCATGAGTCCTTGCAACTTACTTGAGAATGGGACCTGAAGTACCCAGAAATCAAAAATGGGTATGAATTCTAATTCGGGGCCCTTTGGTGGACATCATTTACTGTAGGTTGGGATTTGTGCCCACCAACCCCTTTTCAGGGGTGCCAACCATGAAAAGTTCGTAGCCACATGGCTGTGGCTCAAAACATGTACCAAACTGGCACCCTTGGCAAATGGAACCGAAGACTATCACCTGCGGTTTGCCCTGGCTCTTTTGACTTTGAGCCGCACCCAGCTGCTTAGGGCAAGGCAACAAGATCGATCTTCCGGATGCCGTGCTTCTCCATCTCCGCCTTGCGGCTCCAGGTGGCACGTGGCCGTGGGTCAAAACCAATCGAATCCCATTTTGCAGTGGGTGTACCACCCATTTTAGTCTATTTTAGTGGTTGGATTGGGATGTTCACTGGGGGCAACCGGGCTTTTGACCCATGGCCACATCCTTCGCTCAAGTCCCCCAGCCTCGTGGCCCGCATTGCCGCGGGCAGCCAGGAGACCGCCGTGCACCTGGCCGCGCCCCAAAGCTTGCGCTTGAAGCAAACGAGTCGGATGCATTTCTCCAAATGTCAAAACGGGCAGCGGAGTCCCGGCACCTTGCCGGAAAAAAGGAAAACCTGATGTTTGAGAAACGGATGTGACTCCTGTTCTTCACTGGAAAAAGGTCAAAATGCTGCTCTGCTCCGAACAGAAGGAAGTACAGCGAGCTGTCAACTAAAAGTGCGTGCCTTTGGATGTAGTGTCTTCACTCGCCCATCTAGAATCTCTGGAGACCTTGGACATGTTTGATGCTTGGCATGCGTGAGAACCTGAGACACACAAGGACCTACCTCACAGCCAGCGACAACAATACCCAAACCACACTGTGTCAACTGGCAATATCTGCTGTGCACGCGGCCCGGTGTAATCCGCGACATCTTGCACCTGGAATGGAATGAGTCTGCATTCTTGAAACCCAAGGCCATGCGTCGTTTCAGAAGATGCATCTGCAGCTCAAAATGGGTGTGAATTTTAACTGGGGACCCTTTGGTGGACATCATTTAGGTGGGGATTCATGTCCACCAGTCACTTTTGAGGTGATTCCCTACTAAATTCATAGCCAAATCCAACTCATGTTTCAATTCACATCTCTTCACTGCGAAGAGTCCCATGTCTTTGAAAGATCCGTGTTGCCAAAAGACACATCGTAAGAATCTTCGCGTGCACAATCAATCGGCCACGGGGTTTCAGGTGTTGGCAGTATTGATCGAGGACATCCTGCAGCTGCACTAAGGCTACGAAGAGATCATTTGGGTGGGTCAAAAAAAAACCTGCGGTCCCCTGCTAATTAAATTTTGACCCATGCCCATTTGTGTCTTCAAGCGACTGAGTCATCACCAAACCCGGGGAGTAAAATCAAAAAATTGTCGAAACAGAACCATCTTTCAAAAAAAAAGGCTTTTGGCGGATCTCCGCACCATTTTTCTGGGGATTGTCCCTTCCCCTCTCACCCGGGCTGGAAGCCGCCCAAAAGCCCGTGCAGGGGCTGAGCCATGCGCAGTGCAGCCGAGCTCTCGCAGCTTCGCGGCCGTGCCACCGGTTGAGAGGATGTGGACCTGAGACGAGGGATCAGGCGCTTCGGCTTGAAAAGGCGGCCAAAAAGATGGGTAAAGATGGGTGAAGAATGAGATGTGGGTAAAGAATGAGATGTGGGTGAAGAAGTTGGCTAGGGATTATGCACTGGAGGAGCTGTCCTTATTCGGTATTCTGTGAAGAAGCCAATGCATCCGTTGCTTTGTCGTTGTCATGTGTTCCTCAACTAAAATATAGAGAGAGAGAGAGAGACAGAGAGAGACAGAGAGAGAGAGAGAGAGACAGAGAGACAGAGAGACAGAGGGAGAGAGGAAGAGACTGAATCAGACCCACTACTACTAGAGGGCCTCATAATAGCTTTCACAGCAGTTCCGGCACTACAATGTACCGCTGCTGTTAGCTAGCTCGGGCAGTCGTGTTGTCATGGCACAGAAACATCATCGACCTGTTCAGCGTGATTGTTTTCACCGGGGGAGGTTCTGCGCGAGAGGGTGTGGTACGTACCAAGCGGATATTTGGTGACGGTTTACTAGTTTTTAATGGAGGTGGTTGGCGGATAGAGGGGGGTCTCAGTCGAATTCCCGCGCCCTCCATGACACACCCAGCATCGTTTTGAACATGGCCATGGGTTAAAATCCCGTACCCCGAGTGAACATCCCAATCCCCACTATAGACTAAAATGAGCAGTGCAACTACCCCAAAATGGGATTCCATTGGCTTTGACCCACGGCCACATCGCTTTCAACCTCCCCGGCACTGCCAGTGGGCTGTTGGTTTAGCTTTGGTTCAAGGGTTGGCTTAGGGATTCGGTGGGGTTCAGCTGAAGGGCGGGCTAACAAACTGGGAGTAGGGTGGGTGTTGTTTTGGGGGGGTGGGTTTGGGATTGCGCTTACAGTGTTTGTGGGTGGGGTTGGGGTGCAAATAGTAGGAGTAGGCCTTGTGGGTTTGGGGTTTCGGTTTAGAGTGGGTTTAAGGTTGGTGTAGGGTTTGTGTAGTGTTTGTTCAAGGTGGGTTTCGTGGGTTTCGGCGGGTCTCTTCAAGGTGGGTTTCAAGCTGGTTTCGGGCTTGTTGGCTGCTAATTTGTAACCCCCTCCCCCGACCGACAAGGTCCGGGGAAAAAAGATGCTCTCCCCTGAACAGCCCCATAAGACTTGTCTGGCCAGCCATTTGTTTCGGGACTACGAAGAAAACAATGGCAGAGGTAGAAGTATTCGCAACAGCTTTTCCAAATCAAACTTGTGCTCTTTCACGTTTGGGATTGTGGGAGCTGAGAGGACTGTCGTGTTTTGGGTATGGTTTTGGTGTGCGAAAAATAGTTTGGGATGATCTCTTGCCAAACCTTGAGAGCCCCTAGCTAAGTGCTGGCTGGCAATCGGGGAGGACACAGGCTCATCTTGGGGCTCGCTTGGGCCTGGCGTTGGATTTTATGAAGTTGATTTAGGGTGGTTTGGAGTTGGGTTTAAGGCTTTTTTCGGTTTGCTGGGCTTTGACCTTTCCTTTGGGGAGGTTTGGGGGAAAACATGCTGCTTCAGGGTGGGCTTGCTGGTGCTGCTGGGGGGTGGACACCAAAAGGCTCGAAAAGCGACAAGAGCGCCATGTGCAAAGGAAAACACGCACGATTCCCCCAACATGTGCCGACAAAAACAACGACGCCAGCCAGGCGATTGCCAAAGATCAGTACCAACCCGTCCGCTTCTTTTTTCTCGGCGGAATGAGCCGGAGGCTCTGAAGTAACATTGGCCAAGCCTGGTGAGGGCGGCACCTTCTGCGAGCAAAAACTGGACGCTTAACATACAAAATATGGCCATGGTTCAAAACCGATGGTACCATTTTGGGATAGGTGCACCACCCATTTTAGTCTATTTTAGTGGGGATTGGGATGTTCACTGGGGGTACTGGGTTTTGACCCATAGCCATATGGCTCTGGCACTTTCAATGCAGAAAATAGACTGGTTCGCTCAATGGGAACCGTGGCGGGTATCTAATTGATTCGAAGAGGTCAACGCTTTAAAGGTTACATTTTCTCAGCAAATGGGTCATGAGGCAAGATTTATGCTTCGGACAAGACATGACAAATGTGCTCAACCAACACGGATCCACCGTGATTTACACATTGCTGGAGAACTTAAGCCAAACTCTGAGCATCGTCCCATGTTGGGAATGCTGTGCATGTTGTCCGAGTCCCATTTTCCGCATTCCCATCTTAGCCACAAGTCAATGCTGGACAGTGCCCTGCAATCCAGGCATCTGGGCTCCAGGCCCCCTTTGCGGCCAGGAACTTGCCGAGGTCCTCTATTCCAGCCCTTAGTGTGTAGCTGCAGCCATGGCGAATATATCATCTTACATCATGTAATATGTATGTATATACATATATATTATTTATAATACGTATGTATATTATTTATATGTGGTTTGCAACAGTAGCTTGTTGATGCTAAGTTGCAGCAAGCTTTAGTTGATTTGCAAAGATCGACCACATGTTGAACCTGATAGCTTTGCCATCATCATGTGCCCTCCTTCAAATTTCACTCGTGAGGGCCCGCGCTTGTCGAACACGGACACCAAAGCTGTTTTCACCTCCACCTTGCAGCTCAGGTTCGGAAATCTGCAGCCCCCTAAGCCCCCAACTGGGCTGGTAGCACTTGGAACCCTTCTCAGAAGGGTTCTTAGGGCTCCTCGGAAGCTGAACCGCTTTTTTCTCCCCAGAGAGATGGCCATGGGTCAAAAGCCCGCCCATGAAGTCCCAAGCCCCGCTAACATAGACTAAAATGGGTGGTGCACCTACCCCAAAATGGTACCATTGGTTTTGACAACCACAGCCAGATCTCCGCGGCTTTCGCCTTGTCCACGACCGGTGCGCTCACCGAGGTCAGCGTAGGTCCTCCCATGGCGGCAACCTGCCTCTCGAGTTTCGAAGCTGCGGGCTGAAGCCGCGGAGTCGCCGCGCGAGAAAGGGACCCGCGTTTCGAGCCCAACGCACAGAATGCCGAAACGAAACGAAACGAGAGCAAGTCGAGTGCGGCCATGAACTTTTCATGTCCGCACATGCGTCGAAAAGAGCATCGGAGTGTGTCATTAACCTCCAGAGCAAATCTGAGAGCCCCCCCAAGCTCAGAAGAGAAAGACCAGAAAACTAACAGGCCAAGACCAATGCTGCGGGCTACGCATCACTGTCAGCCACCTGGGGAGGCTCGCCATGCTCTTGGTTTGCAAACTGCAGGTTCCTGCCGCTTGCAGACCTTCACTAAGTACAAGCAATATACCGGCAAGAACGTGCAGGAAAAGAATGAGCTGTGCACAATCTCGAGCTCGCCTGCTTAGTTTGCAATGTCCACCTTGCGAAGCATTGTTACCAAACCAAGCTTTCCAGAAGTATTACCAGATTGCGCTTCTCGCCGGCCGCATGACAAGTTCATAAGACCGAACAAACCCGCGAATTCACGACGACGATCCCAGCTCAGCCGACTCACTTTCGGAATCATCCTCCTGCATCCCATCGCTCGCCAGCACATGAGCGTAGCAAGATGTGTTCCAACAATCGCATGGCCTGCTTACGAAAGTCTAAGCGGTTGCAATGGGCACTCTCACCGTCAGCAATGTGCAGTATGGGGTCGGGTTGCTTCCAGCCCAGCCTCTCCGCACAACATCTCCGGGGGGATCTCCTGCCGTACTCTACCAGCGAATGCATACGGACAAGCTCACCTTTCAGCTCAAAGTCGACATGGTGCGAGAGCTGGGAATCAAAAATGGGATGCCCCAGAAACAAGCCAACTGGTGGCTTCCTTTTTTCGGGGACCCCGAAAGAGTTCATTCCCACCTTCCCGCAAGACGATTGGCGACTTGCGGCTCAAATGCGAACTCGAGCGCACGACGTGCGGCCCTCCGAAACTGGCAATGGGACCGCCCTGTCCTTTCCATGGAACCACGCATGGAACATCAGCTGGATATCCTCCAGTGACTTACCCCTCGTCTCCGGCAGCATGCGGCCTCACATACGCTCAAGGTGCGTAGGAACTTTCTGGACCTTCCATTGTTGCAGAAAACTGTGTCATGAAACAAAATGGGGAGGAAAAACAAGCTCGGGTCAATGATCGAAAAAGTGCTCGTTCCCCAAAACGCGCTCGTATCGTCAACACGGGCTTCTTGCAAAATGTGGGTTGATCAATATTCCTGGTCTCCAAATGACCGTGAGTAACTTTCCCATATCATCTTTTTGGTGGTTTCCCCCATGGTCACCCGATGAGCAAAATGATGCTACGAAACACTCAAGGTGGATACCCCAATGCAACACTGGTAAATGGACAAATGGACCAAAACCTGCGGTCCCCTGGTGCATTAATTTTGACCCATACCCATATTTGCCCACCTTTCCTGTTGGCCCAGCTGTTTCAAGCTGGAAACTTGCCTGATACTTGATGCAAGCTGAATGCTTTGTGGGCTGGGATGCCATCCAAGTCTACCAATACACATTCAGGCACCCATGCATTCGTCCATCCCTGCATCCGCGCATCCAGGTACAGTTCTGCTTGCTTGAGGTTGTGCACAGGCTTGGCCACGAGTAATCTATTAAAGAGGCTTCTCAAACAAGCACATCTGGACTGAAAGTGACAAAAGAAACACATCCACCGTTCAGGAGCGAGCTTCAGAGTTGATGCCACTCTGCTTTCTCTAGCACAAAGAGCAGATTTGCTCATGGCGCACGGGGCTAAATCTGCCAGTCGCGGCAGTCGATTCCTCGAAGAGCAATCTAGCACAGAGAAGTGTGCTCCGCGTTTTCGTTCATCTGCCGAGAAAAAAGAGTGCGAAATTGTGGCAATGTATGGACGGGGTTCACGTGACTAAGAGAAACCGACGCGTTGAGAGGAACCCTCCACGACAACTTTTGGGTCTCCTACCTTTTTGTTTGTGAACCCATGGACCCAATTTGCCCCAGTTTTGAGGCCACTGCTCATGATGGCTCCAATAATGTTGATGGCAGCGAATATCCAGAACCTGGGACAAGCACGCGTCCAGGACACAGCTCATGAGGCCTGCCGGCTGGGCTCCCGAGCGTTTTGAAGCCGAGGTTCGCAATGAGCCAAGGAGGCGCGAAGCCAATCAGGAAGTTGCCTACCTGCCACAAAATTACCAACACCTGCCATAGTAAAAAGCAGTTGTTGTGTGAGCATTGATCCCAGCAGCCAAATGGCCATGGGTCAAAATCCAAATCGTACCCCCAGTGAACATCCCAATCCAACCACTAAAATAGGTTCTAAAATGGGTGGTGCACCTACCCCAAAATGGGATCCCAAAACGGTTTTGGATCTCCCGGACGATCGGGGCTCCGTGCCCAGTTGGCATCCGTCGTCAAGCCGTTCGCCTTCGTTTTGTACCTAGCAGCTACACCAGCCATAAGCAAGGGTTGATAGGTCAGGTTCCACAAAAAAATCACATGGGCGTGGCTCAAAATTCAAGGGCCAGGGCAAACCGCAGGTGATGGTCTTTGGCTCCATTTACCAAGGTGCCATTTTTTGGTACATGTTTTTGAGCCACGGGCCATTTGACACGCGGTCTCACATCCCCCTTGGGGAATGTGAAAACCGACCGCAGGGCTCTCTGGAGCACTTCAAGGGGAAAATCTCCGAGCAGTAAATCCAAACGACAGGGCCCCAGCCTCGGCTCTCAGCCCGCGCTCTCGCATGGCAAAACGAACGCTGAGCCCGCGGCCGTAGGCGAAGTTGAAAATATTGAAGAAAATTGCACCTGGCACTTCGGATTCGCAGTCTTCTCACATTTGCGGCTCAAGTCTTCATTCTGGCCCCAAGCTGTGGCTCGGAAAATTGTTCGGGAAGGCTGATACAGCGTAAAACAAGAGTTTCCCCATGCCTGCCATTGCATACTTGGCTGCGTCTCCACATTGCACCTTGGCAAGTTTTGCAATGACCAGCTGCAAAAAGAAGCCTCAAAGCGCTTGAGGAGTTCGAAAATCATCCCATGGAGGACTGCTTGCAAGCCACCGGATTGCACATACCCACGCTTGG